GTCAAGTGCAGGCCTCTGCTAACGTTGCGAAGCGAGAATTTGCACCTTGGGCATAGGTGTAAATAGAAGAACCCTGCACGTGATAGTGGTGGGGATTCCAGAACTGAAGGACACAGATTTCGGAGTCAGTCAGTCTCTTGAACCCTCCTTGGTTCATCACAGTGGTGGCTTTCTCCTGTTTTACCTCCTCTGGATGAGTAGTGGCAGTCACCTTAGGTCCTTCGAGCATGAGTGGTGAGCGATATGTGGGGTGAGACCCCCCTGATTTCCGTGTCTGATCCGCCTTCTGCTTGTCCTCAACAAGCTGAACTGTCTCCATAATTCTCACTATCCCACGTGGGTTCACCACCCTGATGGCGGCTCTGATACCAACTTGATACGCCTTAGGTTTCACAAATTAGGGTTTGCCCTAATTTTCCTTCAAGATGAAATTTCTCCTCCAAATCCAAGAAAAAATCAACACAAGAGGGATGAGAGGAAGAACAAGAACATTTGCATTCAAAATCCAAGAGAAACAAGATACAATTTGTCCACTTCGAGAAGGACAAGGTCTCCCACTACAAACCCTAGAAAAACAAGAGAAAGAAACTAAGGAGGCTAAGAGAAAACTCAAATCTTGCAGAACCCTAGAAATCTCCCTCTATTCCTTACTTAAAACAAGCAAAAGACCCAACCAAACCCACTAGTGGGCTGCCCAAACTGAACTGCCCAGCTCAGGGCTGACCCGAGCCAAACCGGTCCAGGATTGGACCGGTTCCGCTCAAGGCCGAAACCCCCCGCTCGCTCCGCCTCGCCCCGTGCTTCCCTTCGGCTGGCCGAACGTCGCGGCTCCCTCCCCCGCCGATTCCGCTATCGCGTGGTGGTCGTCGCCCCCCAGCCCCCCACGCCCCACTCTGCTGATCGGAGGCGGAACGCATCACAGACTTATCAAGTTCCTAGAGAAACACCAAACAATAAACCAAAAGAAAATTTCTAGCTTAATAATTCTACTTAAAAGTCTTTAAAGGATCTTTCAAAAATCAAGTTCGTGGTGGTGAAAGGCATGAAATAAAACAGTAGAGGTAATGTAGAGGATCATCGATAGGATCCATGCTTACCTTATCGGATCAGCACTAAGAGAACCAAAGTTTATTCTTGCTGCAACCTTCAGGAAGAAACTTTCTTCATAGCTGGTGAAATACATCGAAAGATTCAATGGCCGGAGCTCAAGAGTAGATATAAAAGGGTACCCAGTGGAAGCACAGCATAGGCACACTTGAAATGAAGTTGATTGTGCCCTAATTATCATCTCTTCCACATATACTCGAGAACCATCATTGACCGTTATAGTTGCCCATAGAGTGGTATCCAAGTAGAGCTGGAACATAGGATATGAACTTCCAGGGTAAGAATCCCCATAAAGAAATGTTGCACGAACAAGGTATCGCCTTCTTGCTGTAGTATTAAAGGTATAGCAGTACTTCTTGTTGTCCGCAGGGAAATACCTATAGAATTTATATTGAGGACTAATTTCATTTTCTGACTTAACTTCAGCTACACTCCCAAGCCTAATGAATGTCGAATCTGACACCCAAACTAGGCCAGTTTTTGAGTCCGAGTAATTGCTCTTGCTTGCACAATCTATACTAACAAATTCTGCAACAGAGCTGAATCATGAGTCCATGCCCCTTGAATTGTTTTTTTTTTTTTTTTTTTTTTTTTCTTGTACTAGAAATCAATATAGCAATAACCACTGAAAAGAACAAATAAGAGTAAAGCTTGACAGCAATTTAGGATTTGGAAGTGCTTTCTGGGCTTAAAAGATCTCTAGCATCCTCAAAAACATAAAAGGGGGCCCGATTTACATGAATTCATTCTTTTTTTTTATGAACCAAATGTTAATTTTTAATAGAAACTCATGGAATTACCTCATAACAAAATCCAAAAACAAACGAGCAAACACATATGCACTCGATAATAAAGCATAGCAGAGATTCATTGAATCAATGAAGTCGAACCTAAAACAAACTTACAGGAAAAAAAAGTTACCTTCGATTTAAGAAAATAATAATAATAAAAAAAAAAAAACAGTTACCTTCGATTTGAGCTACTGAGGTGGGAATTAATACAATCAAGAAAGCCAACATAGAATATAGAAAACCCATGACTTACAAGAATAAAGAGTTCAAACAACAATGCAGTTCTTAAACAAAACCCTAACTGCTTTCCTAAAGAAGTGGGGACTCCACTGCTCACAAGTCCACTTCGAACTGGAATCTCCTTTTCCTTCTTTACACGAAGAAAATTCAAGCAGCCTTATAATGCGTATAGCTGTTTTGAACTTTCCAGGAGCGTTTTCTTGCCGGCCACAAGTTCTTAAATTAGTGTGAAACGGTGTGAACGGAAATGCCGCAGCGAAAAGGAGCCTCCTTTTATACTTCCAGCTAAAGACAAAAAGAAAAACGAAGGGGGACAAGGATTAATTATTCTGTGAGAATACTATGTCAGATCAATTAGAATGTGTTACACAACTCTCCTTGGCCTATTGGTTGAGAGCTTAGTCTTCCAACTAAGAGGTCCAAGGTTCTGAGTTTATGTGTATGCGTTGTATGTGTGAGTTTGTCTTAATTGGCCTAAATGTCCCCAAAAAAATTAGAATGTGTTATTTTTTGCTCAGTATTGTTGATATGCAATATTTTAGTTGGTCTGTGAATGATATTTTGTATTTGACATTGACACAATAATTTTTTCATGCTCATGCACTCTTGTAATAAGGAGAAATTATCTTGTGCGTCACCCAATTGTCCCGAGGCAAATTAGAGTCTGCTTCATCTCCTAGTACATAATGGTACACATAATTGATACACAACAAAAAAGTAAGGCGACACGCTCTGATTTACCTCTGGACGTCGTCCGATGACCGCACCGAATAATTTTTTTTGTAATTAAGGGTTACAATTTTGGTCAAAATTGGAAACTCTCTTGAATTTTATTTAGGATTTAAGATTTAGGGTATCCAACCGAAATTGATTTAATTTTTAGTCTAGTTATAAGTTAATAAAAAAATTGTCTGAGATATTCTGAGTAAAAAATGATTAGGAAGGAACTCAAAATATTTAGATGAGATTTGTGTAATATGTATTTTATCAATTTTAAAACATAACTAAGAACTTTAATGTGAATTTTTATTTAAAAATTAAGTTAAAGACTCTTTAAAAAATATTAAGACGCATTTTAGTGTAAAGGTTGAAATTTTATTAGAAATTTCAAAGTTAAGTATTTTAGTATAAGATTAACCCAATGATTGCTGATATCATGAGAAGTTATACCAATGAAACAAAATGATAAGCCTATCAGACAAAAAATGATAATATCTTAATTGTTACGAGTTGGAGCAATACATTTAAACCTATTTACCTCTGTTTTTTTCAGTTTGAATCTAATCCGAACTATTTGTAACGAGCAATACATTTAAACCTATTTCGCTGAATTTCGATAAAATTTCTGGCAAAACTAATAATTTTAGTAAAATTTCATTTTGAGTTTTCAATAAGATTTCGTTAAATTTCATCTATATTAATATATTATAACTAGAATCAAATTTATGAAATATTTTGTATTTTATCCATGTGTTATACTTTTTTAATAATTTATAATAAAAAAATAATAATAGCATAAATTAAATCTGAAATATTAAATTTTATAGTAAGATCGAAATTGAAAAAGTTTTAAAATTCAGTTTGGTCCATCAAATTTTATTGTTTTAATTAATTAAAAATAGTTATAGTGTGATGGAATATTTTTCAATGATAGTGTGGGAATGTATCAACTTAGCATTGAACAAAAATCTCACATATTCATAAGGAATGAGTAATTGGTAGGAGACGAGAATTTTTATAAATAAAACTCAAAATGAAAAAAAAAAACCATAATGCATACCTTTTAGAAGGATTCCATTATTTTAAGTATAAATATTATATTAGGTGTCTTATGAGTGAAGAAAATAGTAAGATAATGTGTACTATATGAATTGTATGAGATTTCCCTTGTGGTGGTAGACTGGTAGTAGGATAAGCCATTGAGCTATCAGAGTTATTATTAAGAGAAAAATAAGAGTATGACAAACAATCTTCTAATAGGGAACTTTTATTACATCCAGTGAACGTACGCTCCTCTACGTTCGGTTTTAGACCAAAACAGCGCAATACCGAGTTTTTTTGAAAAAACTCGGTACAACTCGGTACTCGGTACTCGGTACGCCGGCGAGCGGGCGCGGTGTGCACGCCGGCGAGCGGGCGCGGGTGACGCCGGCGAGCAGAGCGCGGGGGGGCGAGCGAGCGCGATGGCATGGCCGAGCAGAGCGAGCTTGGGCGCGTGTGTGCGGTCGAGCGGCAGCCGGGTGGCGACCACGGGGTCGCGTGCGCTGGCAAGGCGCAGGGCGGCCTCGGCAGGCGTGCGGGCGGCCTCTGTTAGCGCGTGGGATGCGGGAGCCGGGGCAGGGTCCCGGGAGCGGGGCGGGGTCGCGGGCAGGTCCTGTTCTAAATGGGGTTTGGCCGGGTTGACGACGGCATAACCCCGCCGGGTCAACCGAACCCGACCGTTTTTCAAACGGGTTCCGAATTCATGAACGCCGAACATTGACCTCGATTTTTCAAACGGGTCGGGGTTCGGGTCGGGTTTTCCGTGTCGGGTTCAAATATTTGACACCCTTACATACAAGTACTATGTCAAAAACATCAAGAACCGAACGGCTCCATTGATACCAACCAACAATATCGATGTCTAATCATCACCATAAATCCTTCTATGGCTAACCTTCCCTCCTATTAGGGGAACTTTTTATTTTATCCAGTGAACGTACGCTCCTCTACGTTTCGGTTCTAGGCAAAAAAAGCCGCAATACCGAGTACCGAGTACCGGAGTTGTACCGAGTTTTTTTTCAAAAAAACTCGGTATGCGCTGTTTTGGCCTAAAACCGAACGTAGAGGAGCGTACGTTCACTGGATGTAATAAAAGGTTCCCTTATTAGAAGATTGTTTGTCATACTCT